CCCTCCCAGTCCCTCCCAGTGCCCCCCAATCCCGCCAATAAAACCACACCTCCTTTCTCCCATATAATTATCATCTCATTAGCATACAATTAGCATCTCATTAGCATACAATTAGCATAGTGGGCGTGGTCAGAGGCGGGCGGGGGCCCCCCCGGCCACCACCAGGGTCTCCCCAGTCCCTCCCAGTACAAACCAGTGCCCACCCCCCCCAGACAAACACCTCCTTTCTCCCATACAATTATCATCTCATTAGCATCTCATTAGCATACAATTAGCATAGTGGGCGTGGTCAGAGGCGGGCAGGGGCCCCCCCGGCCACCACCAGGGTCTCTCCGCTGACGTAGGAGGCGCTCGGGGACACCAGGAACGAAACCACCTCGGCCACGTCCCGCGGGGAGCCCAGACTGGGAGGGACTGGGAGTCACTGGGAGGGCACTGGGATAAACTGGGAGGGGACTGGGGGGCACTGGGAGGGGCTGGGAGGGGATTGGGGGGCACTGGGAGGGGATTGGGGGGCACTGGGAGGGACTGGGAGGGGATTTGGTGTTACTGGTTTGGGGTCTGGGGTTACTGGTTTATACTGGTTTGGGGTTTGGGGTTACTGGTTTATACTGGGAGTTACTGGTTTGGGGTCTGGGGGTCACTGAGAGGGACTGGGAGGGGATTGGGAGGGACTGGGAGAGGACTGGGGGTCACTGGGAGGGACTGGGAGTTACTGGGAGTTACTGGTTTGGGGTCTGGGCGTCACTGGGAGGGACTCGGAGAGCACTGGGAGGGACTGGGACCGGTTTGCTCCCTTACTGGGAGCACTGGGAAGAGTCACTGGGAGGGACTGGGAGTCACTGGGGGGCACTGGGAGGGGATTGGGGGGCACTGGTTTATACTGGGAGGGACTGGGAAGGACAGGGGACCAGTTTGTTCCCATACTGGGAGCACTGGGAGGGGTCATTGGGAGGGCTCTGTACTGGTCTGTACCGGTTTATACTGGTCCCTACTGGTCTGCTGTACTTCCTACTGGTTTATATGGGTTTATACTGGTCTATACTGGTTTCTACTGGTCTATACTGGTCTATACTGGTCTATACTGGTCCATACTGGTCCCACTCACCGCTGGATCCCGAGGGTCTCCATCGTCTTCTCCCGGACGGCCTCGTCCTCCCAGAGCTGGGGGAGGGGAAAGGGGCGTGGCCTCCTCAGGACACGCCCCCCCAGGCAGAGCCACGCCCCCCCGACCCCAAACCAGTAACAACCAGTAACAACCAGTGACCCCCAGTGACCCCCAGACCCCAAACCAGTAACTCCCAGCAACTCCCAGTAACTCCCAGTGACCCCAGACCCCAAACCAGTAACTCCCAGTGCCCCCAACCCCCTCCCAGTATAAACCAGTGCCCCCCAACCCCCTCCCAGTATAAACCAGTGCCCCCCAATCCCCTCTCAGTCCCTCCCAGTCCCCCCCAGTGC